TACCGCTGTTTAACGACCGGCCTCGACCCGGCGGCTGATCTTTTTGAATTTTGAGATTGATCAGCATTTGTTAGTGTCATGAACTTTCGTAAGCCGAATTTGAGGCCTGCCGAAACTGCTTTACCTTAAAAAGGTGTTAACATACCTGTAAATTACATTAAAACGCATAAAACTCCAATGATGCGGGCACAGCCGCAGACGCACTCAGGCGCCGAAACAAAGACGCATACTTAGATGTTCCTAATCGGAAGAAAATGCGATTAAATCAATATTGGCAGTCAGCGAAACTGGCACGTTTTTTAGTAAAAGTTGAGCTCCTGTGGTAAAAAAGGAACTCTCTACGGGAAATGGATGCCCTTTCAGACGCACCGAGGGTGCCTCTATAGCCTATAGTGCGTCTATAAGAGTGAAGCCAGTGATGGACACCGTGCCCGTCCTCGCTTCTTCACAGGATGGCGGCGTAAATGACGTCGAGTCATAATCGCCACCAAAAATGACGCGGCTCCTCCAATTGGAAACCCGTGATCATGAGGGAGAATGGCGGCTGACAAAGGGCATTCTCTTGATAAACGGGTGCCCCTATGGTGACAAGCGGAACTAATACGGAAAAACAGGTCCCTTTAGAAGGAATTCTCGGTGTAAGATGAAATGACGGTCGCCGCTGTATGGACACATGTTGTTTCCAAGAGCACGCATTATAGCTCGTACAGGTTTTTTTCAACATACGCGATTTTTCTTACGGCCCTGTTCATGCCTTGCATGATTATTCGCTCCGCCTTGGCTTTCCATTCACTGACACAGACCTCCTGTTAAATCACACCCTATATAGTTGAAATTTACCAGGTTTGAGATGCATTATGGGCTACAATTTCGCGGCACGTTACGAACATATGTAGATCGTCCATCAACCATCGACTTTTTCACTTATTGCTGAATAAGAGGGGATTCTGAACACAATTCATTCATTAATTCTTTCTCGTTTTTGAGATATAGTGCCTGATATTTCGAAGTGCTGTGAAATGGCTAAAAGCACGGATTAAATTAATTCGTTGGGTATGACCGCTTGACTTCATTAACGATCACTGCTCTTAAAATGATCAGATCAGTTCAATCACCGTGGATTTGGCTCTTTTTATTGCCCTAGGATGTGTTGCGAGGGCGTTTGCGCCTTCCACAGGTTGTCCGCATCCATTGAGGAATTTAACGGCATAATTCTGCCTAGTTAATGTTTTCTGGTCTTGCACAACAATGCGTGCGAGCTATCGTGCTTACCATTGGGCCTTTCCAAGCGAATTCAGCCCTACCAACAACTATTCCGCACTGCATTGAGATTCCACGTCATTTAGAATTCAATGAGCGGTGCTCCGTTTCCATACCATTTTAGAAAACGAGAGAAAGACGTATGCCTTTCTCATCTATTTTTATTGGTCATATCACAAATTGCAATGTTCTTTTCGAGCGTTTGCACCTTTAAGCTCACCATCACTGACGCATGAAAAGGAACTGTGATAAATGATATAGTAATATAGGCGACGATCCTATGATACAGCAATATACAACGATCCTAAATATCGGCATCATGGTTCGAGTCGGACCAGGTCAGCTCAGGTC